CTAGTTTTAAAACAAGGAATAGACTCGACAGATAGGGATAAGAACATTCAACAATTACGATCAAACATATAAAGACATCATTATGTATATATATCTACGGTCACAGGTTACTTTCATGTCATTCATATCTTCTTTCAATCAATATTCTTATCACATAAGCATACTTTGGTGGTGCCACAGGACCAATCGCATGCCCATACATGAGGGTCAGCGCATATAGCGCTAACACGGCCCCGCAGCACCCTACCTCATACCGCAGCATGAAGGGATTGACCGCAGCCAATCGATTAGACCGTTGACGAGCTCAACGGTGGACCACAGTCTTACACACCGCTGACGCGTTCAGTCGATGGACTGTGATCCTCTTTAGAGACTACGACCCTACACACCATTGACGAGCTCAGTCAGTGGACCGCAGCCGACCATAGCCCTACACACCGCTGACGAGCTCAGTCTGTGGACTATGGCCTTCCTCGTGGACTGTAGCCCTACACACCGCTGACGCGTTCAGTCGGTGGACTACAGCCCATGAGGCCCAATTGGTGGACTGCAATCGTACACACCGCTGACGAGCTCAGTCGGTGGACTGCAGCCTATGTAAACCAACTTGACCGCAGCCAATATTGGGGAGTCATGCACATATATCACGTAGCAAGTTTATGCAATTCACATTAACACATTGGGAAAGGGGAGAAAACGTATAATTAAGCCTATGCGTGATCATCCACATACTAGGAAATATCCAAAGGGTTCATGCATCTTTCACCTAGGTCAACGGGGTACCAATTCAACTAGCATGCAATACACAAGACTCTTTTATCCTACGAACGATACCCGAAACATCAAACTAGACTTAGGCATGATAAACGGTGTCCGTGAGGACACCACGAGGGTCGGGGAACATCAAACGGGGAAGCCAAAATCCCCAAGGTGTGAAAAATCCAGCGGGTGGCCGGCAGGTGGAGGACCACCCGCAAGTCTCCGGGCAGCGGGTGCCCGGCGGGCAGGCGTCTGCCCGCTGCCGGGGACGTCAATTTGGGGGCAGGTAGGTGGCGGGTTCCCCTACCCCCACCTACCCCCCACTGACTCTTTTTCAATATATTGGTTCCGGGATCTTTCGTGGAACCCGAAACCTTGTTTAGACACTTTTAAACATAACCGACGACACCACGTAGTCAAATAATGGATCAAACCAAGAATCATATTGAGCATATCCTAACATGACTTCTAAACATAAATAACACCTGAACATGCGAAATCCCACCCAAATATATCAAGAATACCACAATATGAAATTCCCAATTTAACCTAGGGCTCTAATCATATTTAAATCATCAAAATCATTGTTTATCTTTAAAATCAAGAACATCAAGATTTATCAAGAATATCACACAATCATCAAGATTCTCTTATAATCATCAAAATTATCAAGATCAAAACATAAAATCATCTCATCAATCATCAAGATCATATCATCATCATAAACGATTTATCAAGACACAAGCAAAGTGAAGGAGCCCAAGAAGAAGATTATAGCAAAGAAAATAGGTTTTGTTGAGACATGGGTTACCTCTTAGCCTTAATTAATCCTCCATTGGTTATTAAGGTTCTTCTCTAAGACTTCCATCCGATTGATCTCCCTAGGCTTGGTGGTGTGGAATCTCCCGGGAATATTTTCGTGTAATATAATTATGGGTGGTGAGGTTTTTAATTGCTTTCTAATCCCCTATTTATAGAGTCAGGAATCCGAATCATAATATGAATAATAAAGGCATTCTTTCTTTATTCCTAATAGATATGTAGGTCTAGGATTCCTAATTAGAATCTGACTAGTAAAAGGTTTACTCTCTTTATTCCTAATAGGTTTAAGACTAGTTTAGGCAAGGGTCCACAATCCATGGTGGGCCACATTAATTAATTAAAGGGGATCCTAACAAAATTAAATCCTTTTTAATTATTATTAGCGGATTTAATTAAATTATTAATCCGGGATTGAAGGCCGTAACACGGGGTGTTACAAAGAACTCTGGAAGCTGCGCCATAAGTGCACTAGAGACGGCATGGAGTGTTCCCAGACAATCATATTTCGAGCCCTCCAGATTTCGTAGAGTATTCCACAAATTTTCTCCTTTCGAACACTAGGAAATGTTGCTAAGTTGCCCAACCAACCTTCCATCCACTGCATAAAATCATGATTATCAAGGTTAGGGATTTGAAGTTGTGAAACATTACACACACGTCTAGCATAAGTGCAAGTGCATAAAATGTGCATAACATCCTCTTCAAGAACACCACAAGCTGCGCATAGATTAGGGACCTCCACTCTCCTTCTAATCAAATTACTAGTCGTAGGCAAAATATTAGAGATGGCTGTCCAAAGAAAAACCCTCCATTTTGGGGGACCTAGAGCTTCCATATGTTATTCCATACAGTACCATGGGGTAGTAATTTCCCCTAGGCTTCTATAACCATTTTTCACCGTATAACAACCCCTAATATCTCTCATCCAATACCAATCATCTCCAAAATTAATATTCACTGTGTAATACCCCGTGTTACGACCCCTAACCCTAACAAAGTATTTAATCACTTGCCCTAAAAGGAGAATTAAAAACCCATTAATCAACTAAGAAAGGCCCACCATAGTCCATGGGCCCACATCCCTATAACCAACCCCTTAGTTCTATAAGGAATAGAATTAGCAAGCCCATAGTGTTTAGACCCCAATTGGAACTCTTAGGAATATATATAAATATAGGGTCATAGGAGGCACCTAGATCTTACACCACAATAATCTCTCACCACACAAAGAGTTCCAAGAATCCCTTTAGGAGAAATCAAGAAAGAAGAAAGCTTAAAGAAAGACCATTCATAACCAAGGAAATTAATTAAGGCTAAGAGGTAACCCATGTCTCAACAAAACCTATTTTCTTAGCTATGATCTCCCTCTTAGGCCTCCCTCTATATTCTCGTGTCTTGATGAATTCTTCTATGATAGTTGTGTTATGATCTTGTTGATTGATAAGATGATTTATATGCCTTCTTGATGATCTTGATGTTGAAAAGAAGTTCTTGATTTTGATATAATGATTCTTGACGAATCTTGATATTTCTTGATGTTAAAGATAAAGTATGTTCTGGATGGTTTGGGCGGGATTAGAGCCCTAGGATCAATTGGGAATTTGCATTGTGATGTTCTTGATTTATATTTGGGTGGGAATTCGCATGTTCGAGTGTTGTTTATGTTTAGAAGTCGTAATAGGATGAGTCGTATGTGGTTCTTGCTTTTGATCCGTTATTTGCCTACGTGGTGTCGTTAATTGCGTTTGAAAGTGTCCAAGCATGGTTTCGGGTTCCACAAAGGTCCCCGGGACGAAATTATGGTAAATGAGTCAGTGGGGGGTAGGTGGGGTAGGGGAACCCGCTGCCCAGAATCACCGCCGGGCAGCGGGTAACCGCCGGGCAGTCTCCTGCCCGCCGACAACCCGCTGCCGGAACAGTGAATTCCGACGGGCAGTCGGCAGGTGACCCCCACCCACCGGCTACCAGCTGGCCCGTACCCCACCCCGGGTCTCCGGCTTCCCTGTTTGATGTTCCCCATCCCCTATGGTGTCCCAACGGACCCCGTTTGTCGTGCTCGAGTCTAGTTTGATATTCTGGGTACCATTCGTAGGTTAAACGAGTCTTAGGAATTGCATGCTAGTTGAATCGGTAACCCGTTGGCCTAGGTGGAAGTTGTATGAACCCTTAGGACTATTCTTAGTATGTGAATGATCACACGTAAGATTATTTATATGTCTCTCCCCTCCCAATGTGTTATTACGTGCTCCTATGTGTTATGTGTTGCATGATCCCCCATTTTGGTTATAGGCCAATTGGGTGGTTCCCGGGCTAAGGTTCGAAAGTCGGCTGAAGACTGAATGAATATTTCCTGGACTAAGGTTCGGAAGTCGGTTGAAGACCGAATGGATTGATCCCGGACTAAAGGTTCGGAAGTGGCTGAAGGCCAATGGATTGTCCTGGGTTAAGACTCAGAAGTGGCTGAGGCCAAATTGATTTACTTCTTGGACTACAGGTCCAACTATGGGCCTCGGTGCTATGACCCACCGGACCTGAACGCGTCAGGACGGTGTGTAGGGCTAATATGCCGAGGAAGGCTGTAGTCCACCGACCTGAGTAATCAGGCGGTGTGTAGGGCTACGGCTGGCTGCGATCCACCGAACGATGAGACAGCGGTGTGTAGGGCCATAGTCTTCCGAGGATCTTGGCCCACCTACTGAGTACAGCTCAGGGGTAAGCCGGGCTTAGATCCGTTATGGTCCACCGACTGTGCGCATCGACGGTGTGTACGATCGCAGTCCACCGACTGGGTGCGTCAGCGGTGTGTAGGATCGTGATCCGACGTTGAGTTCATCAACGGTTCTAAAAGGGTTGGTTGCGATCAACTCCCCTCATACCGCGGTATTGAGGTAGGGTGCTGCGAGGCCGTGTTAATGCTATACGCATTAACCCTCATGTTCGGGGCATGCGATTGGTCTCGTGGCGCCATCATTGAGTATGTGCTATGAATGATGATTGAATGATGATATGATGAAATCGGAAAGGGAACTGTGACCTTTGATGTGCATTTCTATGATGATATCTCTACTTAACTATCTATTACTATTAACATGCTTACCTCTACTTGTCGAGTCTATTCCCGGTTTTAAAGGCTAGAGTCTCCTAAGTATATCTTCCTGCTTCAAAATGGTTTTCCTATATCTGTATCTATACATATTGTATTTCAACACGTTGGAGTGGGTTACCAGCATCTCTCGCTGAACAGATATATTTGGCTTTCAGGCACAGATGAGTAGACACCGGAGTGCGCTAGAGACGTGAAGCGTAGAGTAGATAGTTCCCTTTCGGCCTGCGTGCCATATTTATGTATTGACATTATTGAGGATCCTAGTTAGTTTTCCTGTGCACTTGGGTTCTCTAGCCCGGGTGTGGCATAGCACCCCATACTCTTATATTATGTTTCCGGGATTTTATAAGGATTACCTTTATTATATAAGTTTTAAATGTTCTAAAATTCTGGGGTGTTACACACTGGGGTCTGTAAAATTAAGTCAACATCTCTGGGAGTAACAACTGTCTAACCATATCATAATTCCACCCTCCCTGCTCACGATCAACCAGATCAGCCACCACCAAATCCGGATGCTCGGCAACCTGGTTCGAAAGCACAAAGGGATCCTGGGGATCAAGTAGCCAAGGGTGCAACCAAACTTTCATTGTTTTACCATCCCTAATTCTGCGTCTACAACCTGTTCGAATTAGATCCTGGCTGGCCATTATGCTTCTCCATACATAGCTTGGATTACCACCCAGGGTAGCCCCATAAAAGGTTGTTTTAGGATAATACCTAGCCTTAAAAATTCGGGCCATTAGGGATTCCGGGTTGGTGAGTAAACGCCCACCCTTGCTTCCCCAACAAAGCCAAAAAACCCAAACCACTATCCTTCTTTGGTACAAATATTTTATCCCAGGCCATCCAATGAATCCCATCAACCGTACTACTCCTACTCCACCAATATCTGTTCATTAACCTTTCTAAAGAGACACATAATGTCACAAGTAATAAGAAGATGCTCATAGTGTAAGTGGCCATTGCCTGGGCAACACTTTTGAGAAGCACCTCCTTACCAGACATAGAAAGCAATCTCTCATTCCAAGAACCAATTCTCTATCTCAACTTAGGAAAAAACAACTTTCATGTTCCTGCCAATAACCGAGTGGATGCCTAAATACTTACCAAAACCCTCAGCTTATTCGATAGCCAAGCCATGGCAATGGCGTCCCTATCCACCACATTAGTATTACGGCGAAATAAAATGCTAGATTTATGAAAGTTGTCAGATTTCCCTGATATCAATTCATAAACCTCCAAACAACGCTTTACCTCCATGGTACCTAATAAGAACCAGTACACATGGAATCCAATAAGGGTCTATAGTGGGCTCATCACAAGGCCCGTAACTACATCCATAAAGAATCATTGGTGGAAGAAACAAGAAGGTCCAATAATAATTCCATACGATAGAGGAAAGTATTATAGTGGCCCATTTCAAGTGATATCATGGATCGAAGACAATGCTTACAAGAATCGAGGTCGAATCATTTTCAAGAAGGGGAGGATGATGCGGCCCAACATAATGAAGATCCATCAAGAATACCAATTGGGCCAATCACACGGCCCAAGTCCAAACGATTAAGACAACTCTTCATTGGTGATATTCAAAGATGGTGGAAATCCAAGTCAAGCCCATTTGCAAAAGATGAAGAAGATTTCAAGGCTTTTTATAATTGTTTAAGTGCTGATTTTGGTGATTAAATTAGGCCCAAATCAGCCCTATTATTTTTGGTCATCATTAAGTTAAATTGTTTGGCATAAAAGAGAAAACACTAGTTGTATTTAGAAAGGATTCCTTAAATCCTTTTCTAAATAAAACTCTATTTACTTGTTTTATAGATTAGGTTTAGGATTCTTTTTCCCATTGTATTTAGATTACAATGCTTCCATATACCTATAAATATGGCACATCCATATCAGTTTGAAACAGGCTTTAATTCAATAAAATTTCTAAGTTGTTCTTTACACTTGTGTAAGAAACCTTATGGCTAATTGTGGACTCAATTAGTGGCTAGTCGTGGACTCGACTAGCAAATTGATTCGTGGACTCGAATCAATATTACTTTCTTCAACCTTAGATTTAGGTTCGTGGACTCGTTCTTGAATCGAAGGAAACTAGATCCGACTCTAGTTGATTAAAGATTGCAACATCGAGGTACTTGAAGCTACATGGGATTCTTCTAAGTCTTTGAGGATTTGAGACAAAGGGTTTCTCGTTAGGTTTAAGGTATTTTGATCCATCTCTATCTTTACATTGAGAGCAATCTTGGGGCAATACTCCATCTTATTTGAATCTTGGGCTAGGTTCATATCAATTTGGTATTCAGAGCCTAGGTTTATCTCGTTATCGTTAGAAATTTGGTTTCTTTGGTTCCCTAGGTTTATCTCGTTCTTATCTTACTTACTACTTTTTTCGTGTCTTTTTCATTAAAAAACCCCAAAAAAATTTTTTCCTTTGCATTATTGATTGTGTTCTTGAATCTTGATACATGTTCTCCAGTTTCTTGAAAAACAATCCCGAAAGAGTTTTCCCTTTTTTCCGTTCAATATCAACGAGACCTCACACCTGGCCTCCTAAGCACCATATTACCAAAAATTCTGTCAAGAAAACAACCCCATCTCACTCTTACCTATATCCAAAGCGCATTTACGCGCAATCACGTCGCAATCATACCCTGTCCAGATTTCCGCATTCTGTGACCAGTTTCAAAGAATAACCTATATCTAGAGATCCACTAGTTAGTTTTTTCTGAATTTTTGATATGTTGTAGATCTCTTCTGGGGCGTTCTTTTGATATCTTATACACGTGCTAATTCCTTACGGTCATTGAGATATTCATCTTCGAAGTAAGGGCAGCGTTTCTGTTTTTCTGGGTGATTCTTGAAATTCTTGATTCTGTTTTGAAGGTGTTGTGTGGATCCTCTTGGTCCGAAATTTTTGTTGATATTTACAGTAGTTATTTGGAGGTTACTTATCAAAAAAATCAAAAAAAAAAATCAAAAAAAAAGAGAGAGAAAGCAAAAGAAGAAGAAGAATAAGGTTGGGGAAAGAATAAGGTTGGTAGGAAAATCTTGGTGGGAAAAGGAAGGGGAAAAGTCTAAGGTTGGAAGGAGTTCTTGATAGATTCCTATTTGAACCCCTCTTACATTCTATTTGTCTCTATCTGTTGATATTGGTCTTGCATATCTTTCTGCCATACTTCATTCTTTGGTTTCCTTTTTCTTTCAAATCTTATTTAGTTTCTTTGCTCGTATTGTCCTTTTTCTTTGCTTCTTGCTCTCAATTTTATTACCTATCTCGCGATACACCCTTACTCTCAAAGGCTTGTGAAGTCTTCCAAGGTACGTTTTCTTGAACTTTGAGGTTGAATCCATATCAACTTGAGTACGGGACTAGAACTTTCCTTTTTGGAAAAAGGCTTGTGAGAGTATCTGCCACCTTGAGCGATACACGAGTGGAGTGTGTGTTTGTAAGAGTGTGTAGTGCACCCCCAGAGGTATATAATCCACCTCTTACCTGCGAGCTGAGAATAGTGAGGGAGCGAACCAACTTTTTGGTTTCACTAACGTGTCTACTCACACATCTTTTTTTTTTTTAGATATTTTTTCCTCTACAGATGGCTGAACAAGTTCCAGACCTGCCCCAGACATTAGAACAAAAGATAGACAGGTTACTCAAACGAATGAATAATTTGGAGCAACGCTCACATCAAGTGCAATCACCACACAATGATGAGCGACACCTGCCACCAGCAGGAAGAGTGGATCCTAGATGTCAAAGGATCCAGCAGCGTAATGCGGAGTTAGGAAACATTAAACATGAAATTCCTAACTTCACAGGTGAGAAAGGACCTACTGAATACATAGAATGGGAGAATGCTATTGAAACTCTTTTCTATTTAAAGCATTATTCTGATCTTACAAAAATTAGGCTAGTTGCTACATCTTTTAAGGGGTATGCTTTATCTTGGTGGCGAAAAAGAAATAGAGAGAGAGTTGCTAATTTTATTCCCTATGAATCTTGGGTTCAAGTGAGGGAAGATATGCGCCTAACCTTTCGTCCTAAATCTTTTTTCTATGATCTTGAAAGAAAATTGCAGGGAACGGTGCAAGGAAAAAAGTAAGTTGATGAGTACTACCAAACTATAAGTATTTTGCTTAAACAGGGAGACATACATGAAGAAGAGACAAAAACTGTTGCTCGTTTCGTACATGGATTGAACTTAGAAATTCGATGTGGAATGAGTTTTCAGAGATATGACACCCTTTATGATGCCTTGTATGCTGCACCTGAATCTGAGGTAAAAATCAAAGAGATGAAAATGTACAAGTCCAAAAATGATTTGCTACTATCAACTAAACAAGTTTTGAAAATAGAACAAGAGGTACTACTTATTAAACTTATACAAATATATTAAATATTAATATTTTATTCAATACTTCCACATAAAACATGTAGGGGAACAAACTACCATTGCAAAATATCAATAGGCACTTGCAAGATCAAGAGTTTATAGTACTACTAAGATCCAAGTCATCTACACAACAAGGAAAATTCACAGCTTCCTACACCATAATCTCATTGCATAACGTTGTCATCTATGCTACCAACAATAACCCAATTGTAAATAACACATTTCCAACTAAAAGGAAGATGACAAATAGTGAAGATGAAAACAATGACAATGTTACGAAAAAGAGAATTAAGGATACTTTGAAAAATTCAAAGCAAAAGTAGTATTTATTTAAACTACCGTTTTTAGACCAAGTATTTAGACTATCAATTTTACAAAGTTGCAAACATTTATTTTATTGACAATTATAATGTATTTCATATATTATCTTGCATTCATATACTTTGAGTTACATATTTAAATAAACAAATTTGACATTCAATTACCCATGTATGAACTTCTCATATATAATCTTACATTGATATACTTTCAAATATTTATTTAAATATATAAGCATTGGACATTAACTCATTATTTTGTATTATAACTTTGATATTTAATTGTAGCGGGAAACTACCTCGTAATATCTTTGGACTACATCATATTTAAAATGTTCAAATTTTACTATATCTAATCTCATTCCTTTAACTAGGAATTTCTTTATCTACAATAACTAATTCACACAATAATGGTTGAACCAAATGAACCCCGAGCAGAATACCTAAAGGACTGGTATGCTTTTATGTTGATAATAATATGTAAATGTTAATTATATCATTATCTTACGTAACTATATTTATAATTCATTATTAAAACTGTCAATGTAGGGCAATATAACATCGTGACACACTTGATGCACTAAAAAGATGATGAGACAACAACAATGCTGCAATCAATTTGGCAAACCTAGAAAATGAAGAAATTTCAAAATAGCCACCGTTGATTCATTCATTTATCCTGTATGTAAAAATACTGATTGTGCATTCATTAAATATATTAGAACTAATATAAATTTACAATTCATTTCATCTTCTAGACTCAACCTGCTTAGATTATATGCAAAATTAACATCAACCTTCAAAACAAAAATACTTGGTATATGATGTGCTCGTATAGTGCCAGGGGTGGAAAGAAGTTGGGAAAGGGAATTCTCGGGATTGTCGTTCTCAAAGGATGGCACGTAGGAGTTGATTAGCTCGATCTAATTTTGGAAACTTAAGGGTTAGAATGCTAAGTTAGAAACAAAACGAATATTTCAACTAAACACAGGAAGGAAAAAGGAAAAGAAAAATCACACAAACGCAAGCACTCGGTTGAGTTAGTCTCTTCGGTTCCACGACCTTAGGATACACAACTCTAATAAGAGCAATCGGGATATGCCAAATCAATGGAATTCTTGTGGGGGTACTCGGCACAACGCTAAATCACGACAGACCTAGCCTCTCCTTCTACCTACGTTGGTGGATGCATTTCATCGAACAATTGGTCTACCGCCCCTCCCGGACCTAGCCCTCTCAGATCGTAGGGCGGGGATGGTGAGCCTAGGGGCTATGGTGAGAGGGAAATCTCTTGCTCCTCTCTCCAACCTAATCCTTTGCCTAATTGTGCCTATCAATTAAACAAAGTCCAAACCATTCAATCTCAACACACAAGGATTCATTGAATACATAATCCACTTAGATCAAGGAAAACAATCCCAAGGTCATATGAACCTAGATCCTAACTCAACCCAGCAAATCTAGCTATTAATCATCATTGCAAACACGAACCCTAAATCTAGCATGGATTTCAAACAAGGAAAATAGAGAAACAAAGATTAAGAAAATCTTTAAAAGTATTAAAGGAAGAGATTACCAAGCTAAGCAATTCCAATCTTCAATTACATAGTCTTCAATCCAATCCAAGAGCTTCTCCCTTCTCTCTCTAGTTCTACTCTACTTTCTCTCTAATCTAAAAATGAAAATCTGAATAATGGCTCACTCTCTACCCTGAAAAATCCATCTTTTAATAAACCTAAAATCGCGTAAGTGACGCGTCAACACCAGCCACAATGTCCCGCACAACGCGCGTTGTAGCGTGCGTTGATTTTTCTGGAAATTTGGGGCTTTCCTTCTATCTTGCAACACTGGTCACAACGCAAGTTGTGTCGTGCGTTGATCTTTATGGAAATCCCAATCCTTGTTTCATCTTCACAACGTATGCCCAACGCACGTTGTAAGGTGCGTTGGCTGGCCCTACTTGTCTCTTTGTCCCTTTTGATTCCGGGATGCGCCATTTTGCCTCGTTTATGCTTGAATTCTCCTGCAAAAAGTATACAATCCAAAAGTATGGTGCTCTTTTTACAACATAAAGGGAAACAAGCTTAAATGACCTCAAACTTAGACATGAACGAACCAATTTGACTTAAAATGGCCTATGAAACAACCTTCAAAAGATGAGTTTTTGGCACTTATCACAAGTTTCCACACTCTAAGTCTTGCTTGTCCCCAAGCAAGTTCCATTTAACAATGATCATTTAAGCGTCAAAAACACATCCACACAAAGCTTCAAGATAACCTAATTCATTCAACGGTGAATCAAGATAAGTGTTTCTACCAACTGAGAGGGTGAAATCCCTCACATCATGCAATAAATATGCTAGTCATGTACCCTTACTGACGTTACTCCAAGAATACACTAAGGAAGTATGGCAAAATTCAATCACAAAGGGGTTGTACTCTCACACCATTCATCAAGCATGCAATCCAAAAGTGGTATTCACCTCCCATTTTGCAAAGGCCTATGGCCGAGCCACGCTAGTGGGACTGGGAACGATGTGAACACACCAACCGACCCCATCCTTATACCGCCAAGGTCCTTTACAAGAAAATAAGTGTAACACCCCCGATTTTATGTACTAAAAAAAAGACAATTAAAGCTTAGAGATAGAGATTAAACTAAACATTAAGTATTAAAAAGTCACGGAAGTTAATAGTCAATCGGGGAATGCTATGCCACATCTAACTAAGCTATTAGATGCACAGGCTAAGAGTCAAAGTACTTAATGCCAAAATGCATTGTCAAAGTTCACAAGTCTAACGTTTAGGGCACACAAGCCTCAAAGTCTAGGCTAAGGGATATGGAGAGCTACGCTAAACTATGTCTTCTTCTAGCGCGCTCGAACGAGAACTACTCTGCACCTGACTAAACGCGCTTATCGTTTACGGTTCTCTTTTAGGAAGCGTGGTCAAAAGATTAGATGATAGGGGGTCGTGTAAGGATTTGAGGTGTACTAGTGATAAAACGGGGTCAGTGAGAACCACCCCGAGTGTCGTACTCAAGGATGGCAATGCGGAGTAAATAGAGTCCAAGACAATCAAGTGTCACAGTGCATCAATGGGAGATGAACTAGGTGCAAGGAGTGTAGGTTCGAGCATGTGTTCAAGAGAGTGCAAAGGAAAGGCATAACAAAGGAAACTAGAAAAGAAATAAAAGAAACTATAAAATAGAAGGCGTAGTGGATTTGGATTCCCATTCCTTTGTGCGTGTGAGGTGAATCTGGGCTAGTGTTGATCTAGTCAAGCGAGACGACTTCCAATGCCGTTCACCACTCGGTTACTAGGTCTTTCATAGGTGTGGAACCACCGTTCCGTGACCACATTCCTTATGAGCATTTCAACAAACACTTGGTCTACATCTCATTCCGGGCCTTATCCTCTCGGATCTGAGTGCGGGAAATGCAAGGAGACAAGTCTACGATTGGAGCCACAATCTCTTGTCGACCTAATCCTACTCAAACCTCAAGCATATGTTGTACACCATACACAAGAGTCCATACAAGGTCTCTTCACAATGAGACATCAACACAAAGACAAACAAATAGATCATTACATATCTAGCACAAATAAATGAGATCCAATCCACTACTAGCATTATAAAGATCAAGATCAAGCAATGGCAAATAGGCAAAACAAGATATTATCAAGAGGAGAACAAGAATAGTTTTTACCCAAATCCAAGCTAGATCTCTTCAATAGATGGTAGGGAATGAAGATCCAAGCCACAAGCTCACCAAATCTTCAAATCTCCTTTACATATTAATTGGATCTTGGCGAAAACCCTAGAAAGAAAAGGAGAAAACTAACCCTAACCTAAAGCTTCTCTCTACAACTCTCTCTAAAAATAGTAGAACTAAAATTGGACTCTTCAGAAAACTCCATTCAATGCTGAATTTCTCCATATTTATTCGCACTCCTATTCACGCACGGCCTCATGCCGTGAGGCCGGCGTGAATGGGGTATAATTCCTTCGTGTTGAGCGCTTCGTCCGTCGTCTTAAATCGCCGTTCACGGCGTGACGAGGGCCGTGAATGGGAAGTAATTCCCATTCCGTCCCTCTTCTAGTGTGCAGTCCCGACGTTTCCGGTCCTTGTTCACCCGCTTGCCTTGGCTCTCCTTATTTTCGCCTTTTCACCACGTTTTCTGTCCATAAACACCTGAAAATAGATAAAATGTAGTCGGGAAGTTATTTCTGTGCTAAGCTCGTACTTTTAGGATATTTTGCTCTAAAAACACGACTTCTAAGTTAAAACTAGTGCACAACTCCTTAGAAAACTACTGGAAATTTAGTATATTTTGAGACTTATCAGCACCTGTAAAACATAACGGGTATCACCCTTTAGCGAATAATGCTAAGTAACCCACTACTACGCGTTGAGTATGACATAGTATAGATATAAAAAAAAAAAATTATTTGAGACTTGGAATACAAAGATAGAACTTAGCAACTCTAGCTTTAAAACAAGGAGTAGAGACAACATATAACTCATCATATTAGAACACTCTCAATCAACCGACCATTAAACATTAACTCAAGAGATCAATACAATGATAAGGACGACAGGACAATCAACAACATATAATCATCAATATCAATCGAAGGTAACATCAATACATGAAGGATAACATCAATACATGCTCATAAGCAAATGAAAGTCAAGGATGACAATCAATGACTGTTTCCAAGTTCCAACCTTTACACCGCTCCATCCTTATTTTAGTTCCAACCTGTACCTCTAAGCCACCCTATACAACCACCAACCTTATTCCTCTTGGAGCCATTGCTCCCCGCATGCTTTACCACCTGCTTGCCGCCAGCTTTTTTCATAATGATCATGATCATGATATATAATAACCACTTTAATTG